ATCTGTGGTCAAAAGACCCTCGGCCGTAGCCGCTCGTGTGCACACGCCGATGGGGTAGAAAGGGCCTCGCCCCTCCCAACGGTCATCAGGTGGGTATAAAGGCCTCGGCCACCCAACCCGGAACTAAACTGTCTCAAACATACCTCTGCCATGGTACAGATATTATCTATGATGTGACATCCAGTACATGACCCCCACCTGAATACTTGAAAATCTGAACGCAAGTGCGGATGCTGGAGTAGCGGTCGGAGGCTCGACTCTCCTTAGGCTACATGAATATTTAAGTAAAATAATGCTAAGTATAATGCTCAGAATATTTAATTATATGCTAAAATGCTCGGACTTATCTACGCGATTAAACTGGACTGGACTGGCTCGGAAAAATACTGAAATTTCCGGAACTGGACTCGGATCAGAAATCACGAGTAAAAATTAAACCCACATCTCCCTAAATTATTTATAAAAAAAATGGTCACTATCCTACCCACTCACACCACACAACGACACATATACACACATTTTCCTTATCCCCTTTTTTTTATTCTTTCTCTCCTTTTCTCTTTCCTTATTCTTTCCTCTTTCTTATTTCTTTTTATCTCTTCTTCCTTTTTTCTCTTCACGCAGGCAACTACTTTTTTTTCCTTATTTCTCTTAAATTTTCTTCTTCTTATTTTCTTTCTTCTTCTTTTTATTTCTTTCATTCCCATACAACAATTTTTTTCTTTCCCTTAAATTTTCTTCTATTCAAAGTTCAAACTCACAAACACAAATTTCTCAATACTTACCAATTAAATCAATTAGCCCCAAAATTAAATAATGAAAAACACAATTGAACTGCCAATTTCAATTGGTCACGACCGGCGGACTGGCGACTTGGGTGTGTCGCACTGGACAAGGGTTTTTTCTTTTTTGCGACTGTAAGAACTGGGGACGCTGCTTCGCTTTTAGCCTTTTACATTTGTTTTTTCATTTTTTTTTTATTTTCTACTTATAAAATCAACGTCCACAATAGCGTCTGCCATTTACGCTATTACGTAAAATAGCGCAAATAGCGTAAATTTTCGCAAAAAAAGCGTGCCACGTCATAAATAGCACACACTATTCCGAAACTGCGCGAAATTAAGTGCACTACGGCGCGTTTTTGCTGAAAGTTGCGCTATAGCGCGCGATATAGCGCGCTAAACTGCGCTATTGAAAACACTGATCTCAATGTAAGACAAGGAGTATGATTGCATAAATAAATAAACTGCAAGCATATGTACTTTGACTAAAACATGATTGCCAGATCGAAACGGAATTGTTCATATCTGAAAGTCAAGCTTTTACAGCATATCGAACAACTTGGATGACCTCTAATGTTTAAACTTATAGAATGTTGTCCTTTCGATTCATTGTTGTTCGGAAAAAGTTACTCTCCAAATAAAAAAAAAAAAGAATAAAAAAAACGGTTAAGTGATGATGTTGCAACTTGTTCTGAGCATCTATGTGTTGTTTGTGGAATGTTGGTTGGGTAGTAAGTGTTTTGCCTTGTTGATTCCGGATGAGTAGCGGAATGCTTGAGTATACTCGAGAACCTTGATTGTCTATTTAAGTTTCTTATCCTTATATATCCATACCTTTATTTAAGCCACATTACCCGTGAAGTCCTCTTGATTCGTAAGTTTTGAGCTTTGATTGTTTTCGAGTAATTTAGACTATTGGCAAGCATATGTTGAAACTCAAATATTGACCAATCTGAGCGAACCTATCATGTTCATGTAAGAAAATGAGTGAGGCACATAATGTTATTCATTTGTTTGAGAGCTTGTCATTTCAAGACCAAGTTGATATTTGAGGCATATGGTCGTACGGTCGAAAATAAAAAGCAAAAATTTAACTCTGAACTTTTTAAAAGTCTAGAAGTAGAAGGTGGGGTATTACAATATTGTTTTTATAGATGTTGGAAAAATGTAAAAATTGAGTATCAATAAAAAATAAATATCAAAAATATCAAAAAAATTATGTTTCGACTTAAATAAAGTATGTATAAAGTTTAAATGTTATTATGATGTTGTAAATAAAGGGTACGAATGAATATCACAATTAAATATATATATATATATATATATCATAAGTTTAAAAAATATTACATTTGCATATATTAATTTCTATTTTAAATAATCAAATATTATAAATTAATATACTTAAAAATTAATATATGAGAAATCAATCATTACAATATAATAAGGCTTTTAAGAAAACTACAAAATTCAAAATCAAATTTATAGTATTATAGATAACATTTATTTTGGACATATATTATTTGATAAATATAAATAACAACTATTATTTTTAACAAATCAAGTGTAGAACACGGTTTGATTTTAAATAATATCACATTTTTTAATTCTTTATTTTTCTTATTATTTATCAATAAGAATATAATTATTTTATTATTTTTTTTATAAAAGTATCAATTCTTTTCAAGTACCCGTATAATGCTCGGGTATCGTACTAGCACCATAGATATTACGGGTCAAACTGAGGACTATAAGATATTGCTGAGTATCTACAAATGTATGATATTGATGCGGTATTTTAACCAGTGATAAAAATAATAGAAGTCCACCATCCATTCACTTATATTCCTAAATAGTGCCCATATAACATATCAAACCAAAGTTGTGCTGCTAATTAGATATGCCCTAATGAAATTTATTTTCTTCCACACTTCTTATAGAGCTTCTTAAGAGAGATGACATTTTGGTAGCCAAAATCTAAAAAATTATACACCAAGTTGGACGTTATCAACAAAAAAGATATTTTTTTGTCCCTCACGGAAAAGAAATATGTAGTTGGTATTTTAGTCGGAAAAGATACAGTAATCACCCCACCTGGATAAATAGTTGACGTGGCATGATTAAGTAATGATGTGGCATTATAACTTTCTTTAATTTCCTACGTGGTATTTACGTGGCGTGGTGTGGCACCCACTTTCTATGTACACAACTACACCTAGATAAAAAAAATAAAAAAAAATTAAGAAATTCCAAAAATAAATAAATAAATAATGAAGACACATCAACAAAAAATAAATAAAATATTAATAAAAAATAACAAGAATAAAATAAAATAAAAACAAAAAAATTAAAAATATATATTTTATTAAATATATATTAAAAAAATTTCGATATAGCTCGTTAATATATATTAAAAAAACAAAAAAAAAAATTATTTCATTAATATTTCATTAAAAATAAATATATTTAGTTAATATATATTAAAAATTAAAATAAAAAAAACAAAAAATAAAAAAAAATCGGTATAGTTCGTTAATATATATTAAAAAACTATTAAAAAATAAAAAATATTTCGTTAATATTTCATTAAAAATAAATATATTTAGTTAAAATATATTAAAAAATATTTCGGTAAATGCTCTTCTCTTCGCTTCAGTAGTTTCGATCAGTCCAGAGCTTCGAAGCAGGAAGCATTCCTACTGTTAAGGATACTTCATTTTTTTAGTCCAATCAAAGTCAACTATTTAATTAATTTATATTAGAAAATATAAAAATCAAAAATAAAAAAATATAGAATAAAAAAATAAAAAAAATATAAAATAAAAAAATAAAAATATAAAACAAAAAAATAAAAAAATATATATTTCGTTAAATATATATAAAAAAACATTTGGAAAAATTATTAGAAAAATATTTCGTAAAAAATATATATATTTCGTTATTATATATTGAAAAATATTAAAAATTAAAATAAAAAAATATAAAACAACTGAATATCTGGTNATATTTTATTTTAATTAAAATAATATAAATTTCTAAACATATATATTTTTTAAATAAATTAAAAGTATTCTTTTTTAAATATAAATTTATGTTTTGTTATTTATATATATTAAATAAATAAAAAATTATGTAAAGTATTATATTAGATTATATAATAAATATATATAATTATTATTATTAAAGAAATATTTTTATTTTCTTAATATTTTTAATATTAATTAGCAAAATATATTTATATATAACGAAATATTAACGAAATATTTTTTTATCTTTTAATAATTTTTTGATATATATTAACAAAGTATATCAAATTTTTTTTAATATATATTTAAAGAAATCTATAATTTTTAGTTTTTTTATTTATTTAATATTTTTTTAAAATATATTAACGAAATATATTTATTTTTAACGAAATATTAAAGAAATATTTTTTTTATTTTTTAATATTTTTAATATATATTAGGGATATATATTAATGTTTAACGAAATATTAACAACATATTTTTTTATCTTTTTTACTAATATTTTGATATATATTAACGAGCTATATTGAAATCATTTTAATATTTTTTTAATATATATTTAATGAAATATATTTTTTTATTAAGTTATTTTATTTTATTTATTATTTTGATTATTTTTTATTTTTATATTATTTATTTTTTGCTGATGTGTCTTCATTATTTATTTATTTATTTATTTTTTAACTTATTTTATTATTTTTTTTTTATCTAGGTGTAGTTGTGTACATGGAAAGAGAGGGCCACATCACGCCACGTAAATACCACGTAAGAAATTAAAGAAAGTTATAATGCCACGTCATTACTTAATCATGTCACGTCAACTTTTTTTATCCAAGTGGGGTGATTACTGTATCTTTTCCGACCAAAATATCAACTAATGTTTCTTTTCCGTTAGGTACAACAAAATGTTTCTTTTGTTGACAGTGCCCAACAAAATTATATGTCATTTAAGAAATAGACCCAGTCAAAAAAAATATATTCTTCAATGCAAATAAAAATAGACTGGGTCCTGCTGATGTGCCAGCAAAAAAAAGAGACTCGATCTCCCCTGAAGTCTATTTTAGACCCAAGTAAAGACCTAGTCTCTTTGCAGTAGAATATATTTTATTAATTTTACATAATTTTATTTATGTCATCATCCAAGACTTGAGTTTATTTAAGGAAAAAGTATATCACCATTCCTAAATACAGTCCCAAAACATGTTACGAGCATGTGTCGCGGGCAAACAAATGTAAGAAAATAGATGGTAGCAAAGAAACCAACCATAAGAAATTGAACGGTTGAAAACAACTCAGCCACAACATGATAACAATAAAACAAACCAAGGTTTGTTTGTTTTTTCACTTCCGTTTCCTATATGAAAATGTAAGCGCAATATTATTCCAGGGTCCAACCAATTAAAGTCGCAAAGCAGTTTCAATCATCAAACACGAATCCATTAGGCATGGCTTTAAAGTAAGAAAAAATTTTATGAAATATGTAAATGTATGCATAAAGGCAAAGAGTTCATCAATCTGATGGCATGCTGACAATTAGATAAGATTCATCAATATGGCTTGTAGTGCACAGAACGCTTAAACCTCGGGAAGCTCCTGCAAATGAAGAACTTTTGAATTTAGATTTCAAATTGATAGTAATAAAGATTGAATTGTATACTTTGTTGAAGCGATCTCATGCTTTTAAAAAAAAATGTACAAGTTACTTAAAAAGGCTAAAGTTCTTAAACAAACGAAACTGCAACTAATCTCACACTAAGCATCATCTCACTATTTCATATGTAGGTCAATTCTACACACAACACTTGCATTCTGATTTTGGAGGAGTTAATACAAAGGTAAGAAAATAAATGTGCCAAACATAAAATATAGCTAAAGTCCAACCTAATTTCAAGAATATTATTTTTATCATTCGACTGATCATCTAGATTTCTGCCGATGGTATATGAATCAATCTTTACGCAGCGTGTAAAAAATTTTAACATATGGGAAACAGCTATCGTACTTTAATAGCACCAGGTATTTTGTAATTTACGCAAAGTAATTAAGGGTAATTATTGCCAACAAATACATACTATAGTTGGCAATGCAACGACGAGTAATTCTTATGTAGGTATACAACACAATTAAAACATGCAAAATAGCCTAAATGTGCTAAAAAAAACCATGACAGTGTATTAATCAATATTCATAAAGGCGATATAGGTCACAAAACTTGCAAAATAGCCTAAATGGTCTAGAAAAAACCACGACAGTGTATTATTCATCCAGGCTATATAGGTCACTTATCATTGCCACAATGGAAATGCGACACACGAGCACATGAAAAAGAAAAGAATAGAAAACAATGACAAAAGATAGAAAAGAACGGAGAATAAGACGTTGTAATGTACTCACCCATACCCACGATACAGATTCATGCCAGGAATATTAGTCCTCTTAACACATACCTGTTTTCAATCACAAATCAAACACAAACCACTGTAAGGACAAGCGAGATTTACACTGCATGTTCACACTCCACAAATGCAAGACACAAACCTTAAGTAGTCGACCACATAGCTCTGTTTCATTCAGCAGTAGAGCATTTTGAACAGCCTCAATCTCCACAAACTCCACATAGGCAAAACCTTTGGGCCGACCAAATGTGTCTGTCATAACTGTAACCCTGTTAATGGTCCCACAAGATTGAAAATGAAGCTGTACTTGCTCAGGCGTGCATGCATAGTCAACCTGTGGGTAGATATAGAAAATGACTAGCTCAAGAAGAGTTTAAACTATAAAGGGGGAAAAAAAACTTACATTTATACATTTATTGTACCACAACGGGAATGCCTCCAATTTCTTCAAATGAATCAGATAAAACTTCTTTCTTGCACTAACGTTATTAGACACATGCGGAAAAGCAGGAAATAAAAAACTCAATCGATCTCGTCAATACTTATAAGATTTCCTAGCATATTTACGAGTCCATTGTACATTCGTTCACATAGATGCAGAAACTGAAAAAAAAAAAAAAATAAAATAGTCCTGAATGATAAAAAAGGATTAGAGACTCACATTACCAACAAATATTGAACGAGCGTCACTGTCTTCCTTTGGCTCTTCCTTTATCTCTACCTTCGGTTCTACCTTAACAGCCACAGCAGAGCCACCAGTTTGACCTTCTAAGCTGCCTAATAGAAGGGAAAAAAAAAAGTAAATTATATATGCCATAATTCTGTAGTTTGGGATCATTCAAATTACGACTAGAGATACCACGTAACATAATAATAAAGTGAAAAATTAATTCACATGACATGAGAATTAACTTCTAGATGTTCCGACAAAGAAGAACAAATTGCAATTAATGATGCAATTTTTCATACTGATTCATTGATACGTGCACTGATGAGGCTGTGACATGCAAAATATCTTTTAGACATAAAAGTAAAACTCTGATTTTCACAAACTTATTCCCAGAGTTTTCTTCTGCCGACAAACAATAATCAGATAATTACATGAAAGAAATGTTATGCATTCATATATAATTTAAATTTAAGTTGTTTAGTACTTCAGATATTTCTTTACATGAACACCTTCATAGAAATAAGGCTACATGCTTTTCATATTTACTAATACTATAGCAATAAAGTCTATATTGACATCTAGAGGAAGTAAGAAAGAAATAATACCGTAGCAACAAAAATCTTTACCTGACAGATAGAGGAAGAGGTTACTCAGACTTGAGGACAAGACTCTTCCGAAGGGATGGGAGAATTATTAGAGATCAATTTTCTATTTCATTTCAATAATCTGGCTTTTGGGCAAATTGATTTAGAATATCAATTATGGTTAGGGCTGTTAGGATTATGAATCCATATAAGTAGACTATCGATTTATACCTGAGTTTATATTTTGTTGAGTTGAGATTGATAGCATTAGGCTTAGACAAGAATTTTATTCACGATTCGGAACTTGCACTTGGGACATGCTTCACTAGTTAAAATTATTTCCTTTTCAAATTTATTAAATATCAGTTCTATGCATTATTAAACCCTTCACTCTATCACATATACAAATACATGCTATACACTTCATGGACGTTACCTTTGTTATACATCCCATTACAAAGCAATATATGTTATAAGTTAGAAATTTGCTGTGACAAAAATTGCCTTGTTGAATAGCATAACAATTTGTTCGAGTGAAAAAAGTCGACACGTGTTGTGAAAAACTAAAAAAGCACGTGACATTCGATGCCAAAAAGTTCTAGGTTTCCAATGTGTTACGCATCGCATCTAGCACAACACAAGGATCACTTTTAAGATTTTAAACTAATTTCCAAACACACAAGAGCATCCAAATAAATCCGACAAATCTATAAGAGATAAACAGATTCAAAAGAATCCGACAAACCGTGAAAAGAAAAAACACACTATCGTATTTGATCAATCAGAAACCTATTCAATAGCAAACGTTATCCATTCATTAGCATGCCTACCAAATTTGACATAAGAAACCAATCTCCAAGCTTAACATCACTAAATTCATTAAACAAACTAGTGACACTATTTCTGTATAGGGTAAAACCAAATAAAAAACAAAAATCCCAGCATGCAATTCATAATCTAGCACGTGAAACCTTGAGAAACACAGGTCACAAGCTTAAGCCAGAAATATAAAATCAAGCCCTTTTTCCTCTAGTATGTAGTTTTATCTACGAGTTTTATCCTCTTTTCTTATTCTCCTCAATTTTTCAACGTTGAACTTCGGATTGGGTGATGTTTCTCCATGATTTACATTTTACGATGACGAGTCCGATCGAAATCCATTCGTTTTAGAATGGTGACGACAATTCGAGGCATTTGTCTGAGAGGAACTTGAAAGGAGTAATAAAAAAAGAAAAAAAAAATCCCTTTTTCCTCTAAAAAAGTGAAGATTCACAAAAGCACGTGCTCATAATAAGTAAACCTTGGACCACGCGAATCTCTCTCTCCTGCTTGGCCATCGCTTGGCGAAGCGTATCAGCTTCTTCCTCCAGCGCTTTCAATCTCTGCCTCAGGGTCTCCAAAAACTACAAAATTATAAGAAAAAAACATTAAGACACGAAATCCAATAATCATAAACCTAAACAAACTTTAAAAAAAAAATAATCACAACAGAAAAGAAGCATATTCATACCTTAGTTTTCATCTCAACGGTGGCGGCAGCTTCAGCCACATCAGAGTTAGCTTCATCGTATGATTTCTGGGGAACATAAACGTCCTGTTCTTTCTTGATTCCCTGCTGTTGATGCCATTTGATATCCATCTCTTTGTATCTCTTTCTCTATCTCTTCCTCTGGTACATAGGTATGCATATATGTATGCGTTTTTCCATTTCCTTGCGCAGGTGATCTGTGTAATCATATTAGAGAAAGGTGAATTCGATGTTCTTTGGAATGGGATTTGGGATTGGGAAAATTTGATCTGCTATTATTGCTTTGGTGTGAAAAAAGCAAAATGGGATTGGAATTCGGGAAATTAATAAGGGATGAGACGATAAGGGCATAAAAGAAAAAGAAAAGGAGGGTCATTCACCCAAAATTGAAAAGGGATGAGACAGATATATTTATTTATTTATTTAAAAATAAAAAAAATTAAGTGGATAAAAACTAAAAAATTTAAAAACATGTGGACAAAAATCAAAATCACGTATTTTGAGAATACGTTTTTATTTAAAAAACGTATTTTCAAAATACGTTTTATAGTGTAAAACGTATTCCGACAATATGTTTTAGTGTAAAACGAAAAAATTAATAAATAAAACATATTTTGGTTATACATTTTACAAATAATTAAGAACTAAACAAAGAATTAAAAACTAAAACGTAAATAAATTTTATTTTTTAATTATTTATAAAACGTATTATAAAATACGTTTTATAATTGTAATACAATTATAAAACGTATTTTGATAATAAGTTTTATATTTCAAAATAAATGAATAAAAAAATTAATATATAATATGTGTTTTGTGTTTTGGGTTCGTTTGGGCTCGTCTGAACTCGGAATTGAGTTCCATTTTTTCCTATACGTAGCTAACGAACCCCTCTATCCATTGATGCTTGCAGTGGCCAAATTATTCTTGAAATCGTATTCTCCCAAAGCTCTTGACCGATACATTAAACGTGTTTCGCGCGACTTTACTTTTTGGGCCAGTTCAAACTCGTCCAAGCTCGAGACCGAGACCTTTACCCACCTTTTTCTAGAGAGTGAGATTGTGAGGAGAGTGTGGGAGCATTTTGCTACTTGGACTCATATATCCCTACCCTCCACAGACAGTTTTTTTGAGCTCCTGAGTTTTTTCTCACAGAGCACACACTTTAGACACGTGAGCTTTCTCATTCCTTGTCTGATCCTTTGGTTCACCTGGACGGAAAGGAATAGTGCGAAGCATAGGGGTATTAGTTTCTTGCTTTCTCACATTGTTTTGCAGGTGGAAAGACACGTTTCGCTCCTCACAGCGTTGGGCAGGCTTTCTGCACGTGAGTGGACAGGTTGCATGCCACCGCACCGCTACAGGGTGGCTCCCCCTCCGCCTGTTCGGTCCCCCGGCCCAGAGCTGTTGTTTGGCTTTGACCCGACTCTCCTTGGGTCAAGCTGAACACCGATGGATCTTTCGATCGCCATAGCGGTACTGCCGGAGGAGGAGACTAGATCCGGGACCACAATGGAACTCTTATCACCGCCTTCCACACATCCCTTCAGGCATCCTCGAGCTACGATGCAGAGATTCAGGCATTATAGATTGGCCTTCAGATTGCTGCCGACCTCTCTAGTCATATTTGGATCGAGCTGGACGCAGTGGCTGTCGTCACCCTACTGGCCTCGGGTCATCAGGGCCCGTGGCAGATTCAGCACCCACTTATGCGCATTAGAGATCTACTTCGGTCTGTCCATTACAGGATCACACACATCTTCCGTGAGGGGAACAAACCTGCTGATTACCTTGCCAGTCTTGGCGTTACCATACCAGACACGCACACGTATCAGACCTACACTGCTCCACTCCGTCTTCGCACGCTAGTTCGGATGGATCAGCTGGGATATCCATCGTTTCGATTCCAGTAGATTAGGTTTCTGGTTTTGGTCTTCTTAGACCACCCATTTATTCCGGGCACCTGTTAGCCCGATGACAGACCTTGTTCTATTTTCATTTTCTGTTTTCGTTTCTGTTTGGATTGTGAAACTATGTTGACACTTTGGGCCCCAGTTTCCGGGTCTTGATCTATGTACAGGTTGGGGATCCTGCCCAATCTCCCGCCCTTCCGGGGCGTTATTTGTTTTATAAAAAAAAAAAAACTTAGCAACTACATACAAGTAACCTAGCAACTACATATATCTAACCTAGCAGCATCAAAAATAAAATTAACCTAGCACCACCAAAAAACAACTAACATTGCACCTATCAATGTAGATTCAATAACAGAAAATACCAAAACCAGAAAATATTCAAATAAATAAGAATCAAATATATAAGTAAACTTACACTGGAATATGTTGATGCAAAAAATCTCAACGGCTGGCCAGGTTTTCAGGATTGTTCTCTTAAGTTCAAAATTCTGGACCAGGTATCAAGTACAGAGACACTGACATATGCATCTGGTCTTAAGGACCTCAGATCTTCTTTCATCAAAATTAGATCCCCATTCTGAAAAATTGTCTCATACCTAACAGCACAAAAATAAGAAAAGAACAAGAAAATATAAATTGGAATTAATAAATGCAATAAAATGTGAAAAGATATATAAAATTTCTCAAGTATGAAAAATTACATTGTAATAGCCCAATTCTGTATTAATAAAAAAATGACAGTTTTTAGTTCCCAGTTGAACTATTTCTTTTTATTAATACTGCTCGTCTTGAGTTCCGAGCCCAGTTATCAGCTATTCAATCTCAGTTATTAATTCCGGTCCATTTATTTTAGTAATGGATTTTATTCAGTCGGGATTGATTAATTCAGTTGACGAATAATCGAAACCGAGTATGTTTCGATTAAATCGTCCAAGTCAAGCCGTGTCCGGAACCGAGTCGTTCGGTCGCGAGTATCGCGCCTAGCCAATTCTCGAGCCCTAGTAGTCTCGAGTCTTGTTCGAGCCCTAGTCGTGCTCATAGCCTTACTTAGAATATTTTCTAAGTATGAGATCATTTTTATCGAGCCTTCGATATCATTCCCTCGGCCTAAGTAACCCCGCACCGAGCTCGTGCACGGGTCCGAGTCCTCGCGCCCAAGTGTCGCGTGCCTCGCCAAGCCGCGAGTGCCCAAGTCATGGCCGAGTGTTTTGAGAAATTTCCCAAGTGTTTTGAACACTTAAAACCAACCTTAGATAAGAGTTAGTCCCGACCCAAGGACCATGCGCACCAAGTCCAAGCCTCGTGCCATAGTGCCGCGTGTGGGTGCCTTGAGCCGCGCCGAGTAAGCCTTGGCTAAAGCCATGTTTTCAAGGATTTTTCTAAGTGTTGGAAACACTTAAGTCCAGACCTAGACTCGTGTTATGCTCAGCCCAAGTATTTCTCGCGCGCAGACCAGGACAGCAGTCCCCGCGCCCAGCTCGCGCCCAGGGCCCAGCAGCGCCCAGGCCCAGCGCTGGCAGCGCGCGGGTCCAATTCTTTGGCCCAATGTGGATTGTTTCGTGGCCCAATTTCCATGGCCCAAATCATGAGAATTTTAGAAGGATAATGAGGGGTTAATTAAGCCTATTTAGGCCCTAAGATGGATTAAGGAAGTCCAAGATTCCTTGGCATTATTTTAATGATGAGTGGAGTTGGTCATGTGCATTGTTTATTGCTTGGGACCTTGTCCTATAGTGCTGCCACCACCAGGCCTTGTCCCCTGTCCAGATGCTCTACAAGATGCCCCATTTTTCCGTACAAGTCAGGTTGTGGATGTCCAAGGCCGTGCCACTCAAAGACCTCACACCAACCCATGCGCATGTGGACATTTTGTCCCCCATTTGTTAGCCTTGTGTACTCCGCCCCTCTCCCCATATAAAGGGCACTTCTCAGTCCACTTTCAGCTCTTGGACATCCTAAAACACTTAGCATAATTGTGGGATAAGTGAGAAAAGCCGAGAGCAACCATAAGAGGAGTGCTCGTATCCAACTTGTTCCAGCCCAGTTATCTCGAGGCTTATCATTACCCAAGCATTATTTGGATTTTTATAAGTCTCTTGAGGCTACCACCCTTAGCCATTCCCGCTCCAAGTCGAGTCCAAGCTCCTACGCCGCGAGTGAGCCCTAGTGGAAGCCATTGGCACCATTTCGCGTTCGAGCAAGGTAAGCTCACACTCCTCATTTTTCCCAGCATATACATGACATTTTAAAATTTATCATGTATAAAAATGAGGCCATGCACGTGAGAATAAGAAGATTTGGATTTTTGAAGTTTTGAGCCCTAATTTCGCAAGTCTTGATTCATGCATGAGAATGCCGAGTTTCATGGCTTAAAAATCCTCAAAAATCATGAGTATGACATGGTTAAAAGATTAGCATGCTTTGAGTTCATATGTTCGGTCAATTTGATATGTGAAATGTAGCCATTTTCACCCCCGAACCTAAGTATATGTGCATGCATGTTATAGCCAATGTCCTAGCCTCATTAGCCATGATTTTTGATGTATATCATTCGGCCTTAAGTCAATTTGCATGTTAAGAATGTTCATTTTTGTGCCCTAGTGTGGCCTCGTGCCTAATCGACCCTATAAGCCCATCTCCAAATCCAACCGAGGTCCCTCAGTGACTTTTGGCATTTTTGAGTGTTTTATGTCATATTATGTTGGTTTGGTTCAGTAGTCACCGGAAAAGTTGCCGGAAGTTCGGCAAAGGACCGGCTAGAGTCACCAGCCACGCCAGTCGCGCGTGTCGTGCCCGTGCCGTGTCGCGGAGGCCAGGCAGTGCCTCTGTCCGTGCTCGCGCCTAGCGCTCGCGAGGCACCGCAGCCCCCAGTGCACGCGACAACGCCCAGCAGCGCCTGTCCGTGCCAGTGTGCGAGGCCTTGGCGCCAGTCGTGCCCCAGCGCCTCCGACAGCGCCCGGCAGCGCTGTCCCAGTGTCATGCACGCATGACCTCGAGCCAGACGCTCGTGCCACGCGGAGTGGACCTCGGGTCGTGCCAGCAGTGCACCCGAGTGTTCAGTGCCGCACCTTGGTGAACCCGAGCCGTGTTCAGAGGCCTCGGGACGTGCCCAGCAGCACACCAGAGCAGTTAGTTGGCCCGGGATGTGCCCAGCAGCACGCCCGCGTGCCCAGTGTCGCCCGGCAGCGCCCTAACAGCCTTAGCCGCGCCTGAGCTGCGCGAGAAGTGTCTGACCGCGTCAGTCCTCGCGCCAGCCACACTCGGGTCGTGCCAAACCAGATCAGTTAAGCATATCAGTATAATTTCCGGACTTAGAATTATTTCAGTGAACCCGTAGAGCGTTCCTTTATATCCGGATGAGTAATCTGATAGAGTAGAGCATCCTAGCATATATTTGAGCATATGACGAGCATAGTACTTAGTATATTTTGTTTGCTTAT